CATGTGAGGCATGGTGGCATGTGAGGCATGGTGGCATGTGAGGCATGGTGGCATGTGAGGCATGGTGGCATGTGAGGCATGGTGGCATGTGAGGCATGGTGGCATGTGAGGCATGGTGGCATGTGAGGCATGGTGGCATGTGAGGCATGGTGGCATGTGAGGCATGGTGGCATGTGAGGCATGGTGGCATGTGAGGCATGGTGGCATGTGAGGCATGGTGGCATGTGAGGCATGGTGGCATGTGAGGCATGGTGGCATGTGAGGCATGGTGGCATGTGAGGCATGGTGGCATGTGAGGCATGGTGGCATGTGAGGCATGGTGGCATGTGAGGCCATGGTGGCATGTGAGGCATGGTGGCATGTGAGGCATGGTGGCATGTGAGGCATGGTGGCATGTGAGGCATGGTGGCATGTGAGGCATGGTGGCATGTGAGGCATGGTGGCATGTGAGGCATGGTGGCATGTGAGGCATGGTGGCATGTGAGGCATGGTGGCATGTGAGGCATGGTGGCATGTGAGGCATGGTGGCATGTGAGGCATGGTGGCATGTGAGGCATGGTGGCATGTGAGGCATGGTGGCATGTGAGGCATGGTGGCATGTGAGGCATGGTGGCATGTGAGGCATGGTGGCATGTGAGGCATGGTGGCATGTGAGGCATGGTGGCATGTGAGGCATGGTGGCATGTGAGGCATGGTGGCATGTGAGGCATGGTGGCATGTGAGGCATGGTGGCATGTGAGGCATGGTGGCATGTGAGGCATGGTGGCATGTGAGGCATGGTGGCATGTGAGGCATGGTGGCATGTGAGGCATGGTGGCATGTGAGGCATGGTGGCATGTGAGGCATGGTGGCATGTGAGGCATGGTGGCATGTGAGGCATGGTGGCATGGTGGCATGTGGGGCATGGTGGCATGTGAGGCATGGTGGCATGTGAGGCATGGTGGCATGTGAGGCATGGTGCATGTGAGGCATGGTGGCATGTGAGGCATGGTGGCATGTGAGGCATGGTGGCATGTGAGGCATGGTGGCATGTGAGGCATGGTGGCATGTGAGGCATGGTGGCATGTGAGGCATGGTGGCATGTGAGGCATGGTGGCATGTGAGGCATGGTGGCATGTGAGGCATGGTGGCATGTGAGGCATGGTGGCATGTGAGGCATGGTGGCATGTGAGGCATGGTGGCATGTGAGGCATGGTGGCATGTGAGGCATGGTGGCATGTGAGGCATGGTGGCATGTGAGGCACTGGTGGCATGTGAGGCATGGTGGCATGTGAGGCATGGTGGCATTGTGAGGCATGGTGCATGTGAGGCATGGTGGCATGTGAGGCATGGTGGCATGTGAGGCATGGTGGCATGTGAGGCATGGTGGCATGTGAGGCATGGTGGCATGTGAGGCATGGTGGCATGTGAGGCATGGTGGCATGTGAGGCATGGTGGCATGTGAGGCATGGTGGCATGTGAGGGCATGGTGGCATGTGAGGCATGGTGGCATGTGAGGCATGGTGGCATGGTGAGGCCTGGTGGCATGTGAGGCATGGTGGCATGTGAGGCATGGTGGCATGTGAGGCATGGTGGCATGTGAGGCCATGGTTGCATGTGAGGCATGGTGGCATGTGAGGCATGTGGGCATGTGAGGCATGGGTGGCATGTGAGGCATGGTGGCATGTGAGGCATGGTGGCATGTGAGGCATGGTGGCATGTGAGGCATGGTGGCATGTGAGGCATGGTGGCATGTGAGGCATGGTGGCATGTGAGGCATGGTGGCATGTGAGGCATGGTGGCATGTGAGGCATGGTGGCATGTGAGGCATGGTGGCATGTGAGGCATGGTGGCATGTGAGGCATGGTGGCATGTGAGGGCATGGTGGCATGTGAGGCATGGTGGCATGTGAGGCATGGTGGCATGTGAGGCATGGTGGCATGTGAGGCATGGTGGCATGTGAGGCATGGTGGCATGTGAGGCATGGTGGCATGTGAGGCATGGTGGCATGTGAGGCATGGTGGCATGTGAGGCATGGTGGCATGTGAGGCATGGTGGCATGTGAGGCATGGTGGCATGTGAGGCATGGTGGCATGTGAGGCATGGTGGCATGTGAGGCATGGTGGCATGTGAGGCATGGTGGCATGTGAGGCATGGTGGCATGTGAGGCATGGTGGCATGTGAGGCATGGTGGCATGTGAGGCATGGTGGCATGTGAGGCATGGTGGCATGTGAGGCATGGTGGCATGTGAGGCATGGTGGCATGTGAGGCATGGTGCATGTGAGGCATGGTGGCATGTGAGGCATGGTGGCATGTGAGGCATGGTGGCATGTGAGGCATGGTGGCATGTGAGGCATGGTGGCATGTGAGGCATGGTGGCATGTGAGGCATGGTGGCATGTGAGGCATGGTGGCATGTGAGGCATGGTGGCATGTGAGGCATGGTGGCATGTGAGGCATGGTGGCATGTGAGGCATGGTGGCATGTGAGGCATGGTGGCATGTGAGGCATGGTGAGGCATGGTGGCATGTGAGGCATGGTGGCATGTAGAGGCATGGTGGCATGTGAGGCATGGATGGCATGTTGAGGCATGGTGGCATGTGAGGCATGGTGGGCATGTGAGGCATGGGTGGCATGTGAGGCATGTGTGGCATGTGGAGGCATGGTGGTGCATGTGAGGCCTGGTGCATGTGGAAGGCATGGTGGCATGATGAGGCATGGTGGCATGTGAGGCATGGTGGCATGTGAGGCATGGTGGGCATGTGAGGCATGAGTGGCATGTGAGGCATGGTGTGGCATGTGAAGGCATGGTGGCATGTGGAGGCATGGTGGCATGTGAGGCCATGGTTGCATGTGAGGCATGGTGGCATGTGAGGCATGGTGGCATGTGAGGCATGGTGGGTCTGTGAGGCATGGTGGCAAGTGGAGGCATGGTGGCATGTGATGCATGGATAGGCATGTGAGGCATGGTGGCATGTGAGGCATGGTGCATGATGAGGCATGGTGGCCTGTGAGGCATGGTGGCATGTGAGGCATGGTGGCATGTGAGGCATGGTGGCATGTGAGGCATGGTGGCATGTGAGGCATGGTGGCATGTGAGGCATGGTGGCATGTGAGGCATGGTGGCATGTGAGGCATGGTGGCATGTGAGGCATGGTGGCATGTGAGGCATGGTGGCATGTGAGGCATGGTGGCATGTGAGGCATGGTGGCATGTGAGGCATGGTGGCATGTGAGGCATGGTGGCATGTGAGGCATGGTGGCATGTGAGGCATGGTTGGCATGTGAGGCATGGTGGCATGTGAGGCATGGTGCATGTGAGGCATGGTGGCATGTGAGGCATGGTGGCATGTGAGGCATGGTGGCATGTGAGGCATGGTGGCATGTGAGGCATGGTGGCATGTGAGGCATGGTGGCATGTGAGGCATGGTGGCATGTGAGGCATGGTGGCATGTGAGGCATGGTGGCATGTGAGGCATGGTGGCATGTGGGGCATGGTGGCATGTGAGGCATGGTGGCATGTGAGGCATGGTGGCATGTGAGGCATGGTGGCATGTGAGGCATGGTGGCATGTGAGGCATGGTGGCATGTGAGGCATGGTGGCATGTGAGGCATGGTGGCATGTGAGGCATGGTGGCATGTGAGGCATGGTGGCATGTGAGGCATGGTGGCATGTGAGGCATGGTGGCATGTGAGGCATGGTGGCATGTGAGGCATGGTGGCATGTGAGGCATGGTGGCATGTGAGGCATGGTGGCATGTGAGCATGGTGCATGTGGGGCATGGTGGCATGTGAGGCATGGTGGCATGTGAGGCATGGTGGCATGTGAGGCATGGTGGCATGTGAGGCATGGTGGCATGTGAGGCATGTGGCATGTGAGGCATGGTGGCATGTGGCATGGTGGCATGTGAGGCATGGTGGCATGTGAGGCATGGTGGCATGTGAGGCATGGTGGCATGTGGGCATGGTGGCATGTGAGGCATGGTGGCATGTGAGGCATGGTGGCATGTGAGGCATGGTGGCATGTGGGCATGGTGGCATGTGAGGCATGGTGGCATGTGAGGCATGGTGGCATGTGAGGCATGGTGGCATGTGGGGCATGGTGGCATGTGAGGCATGGTGGCATGTGAGGCATGGTGGCATGTGAGGCATGGTGGCATGTGGGGCATGGTGGCATGTGAGGCATGGTGGCATGTGAGGCATGGTGGCATGTGAGGCATGGTGGCATGTGAGGCATGGTGGCATGTGAGGCATGGTGGCATGTGAGGCATGGTGGCATGTGAGGCATGGTGGCATGTGAGGCATGGTGGCATGTGGGGCATGGTGGCATGTGAGGCATGGTGGCATGTGAGGCATGGTGGCATGTGAGGCATGGTGGCATGTGGGGCATGGTGGCATGTGAGGCATGGTGGCATGTGAGGCATGGTGGCATGTGAGGCATGGTGGCATGTGGGCATGGTGGCATGTGAGGCATGGTGGCATGTGAGGCATGGTGGCATGTGAGGCATGGTGGCATGTGAGGCATGGTGGCATGTGAGGCATGGTGGCATGTGAGGCATGGTGGCATGTGAGGCATGGTGGCATGTGAGGCATGGTGGCATGTGGGGCATGGTGGCATGTGAGGCATGGTGGCATGTGAGGCATGGTGGCATGTGAGGCATGGTGGCATGTGGGGCATGGTGGCATGTGAGGCATGGTGGCATGTGAGGCATGGTGGCATGTGAGGCATGGTGGCATGTGGGGCATGGTGGCATGTGAGGCATGGTGGCATGTGAGGCATGGTGGCATGTGAGGCATGGTGGCATGTGAGGCATGGTGGCATGTGAGGCATGGTGGCATGTGAGGCATGGTGGCATGTGAGGCACTCCCATGGCTTCTCCATGTCTCTCTCATTCCACCAGTCCTCGCTCCCTTCACGGCTCATTTTGTTAGCGTCCTTCTCTTCTCGGCTCATTTCCTCCTGTCCAGCTCATCTCTCCACTCGTTCCCTCCCCTTCCCCTTTGAGCAGGTACGATGCGGAGCTGGAGGCATACTTTGACACGGCATACGAGCACTACTGCAAGGCCACCGCCAGCAGCAAGCGCCGCAAGGCCCGCGCTCGCCTCATGGCGCTGGACGGCCAGGGGGAGGATGGTGAGGAGGACGCCGGGGCGCAGGGGGAGGAAGGGGGGGAGGAGGAGGCGGCGCTGGTGCACATCGGGGAGGAGGGCGAGGAGGAGGAGAATCCGCTGGTGGTGCGGCTGGGTGAGAGCAGTGCGAGTGAGCGCGTGCAGGCGCAGTGGTTCACCCAGGACCTCTTTGAGGGGCTCGACCTGGTGGGCGGGGCAGAGGAGGAGCAGCAGGAGGTGGCGAAGGGGAGCAGTGCAGGCGGTGGGGTGCAGAGGATCGGTGCAGTGGTGCACAAGGCTGGGCGGATAGGAGGTGACGGGGCAGTGAAAGGAGGGGTGGAGGAGAAGCAGCGAGGAGAGAAGAAGGTGAGGAAGGGTAGTGAAAGGGTGGTGGTGAGGGAGGAGGGGGAAGAGGAGGGGGAAGTAGAGGAAGAGGAAGGGGAGGTGGCAGACGTTGATGATGGGGGAGTAACGGGCATGGCAGGTGATGGGAAGGGTGGAGAGGTAGCAAGGAAGAGCAAAGCTGGCAAGGTGAAAGCTGCACTAACTGAGGCGGCTGTGCCTCGTGGCGCGACTGGAGGAGGCGAGGAAGATGGCGAGAAAGGCATGGGCAAGAAGGCACGAGGGGGGAAGCAGCAGGAGGAGGAGGCGGGGTTTGAGGTGGTGCCGGAGGAGAGGCTGAGTGGCAGCGAGGGGGACAGCTCGGATGACAGCTCTGACAGCGACAGCGACAGCCGTGGGGGGCCACATGGCGGGCACAGGGGAGGCAGGCACGCACGCACAGGGGGTGGGGGCGCTGCAGGGGGACATGGAGGGGGGGGGATGGAGGAGGAGGAGGAGTGGGACAGCGACAGCAAGGCGGAGACACTGGCGTATGCAAGGAGGATGCTGAGGAAGCGAGAGCGCGACGAGGTGGTGGACGATGCGTACAACCGGTACATGTTTGACGACGACGCCAAGGCGCTGCCCAAGTGGTTTGCGGATGACGAGCGACGGCACATGGTGCCGTTGAAGCCCATCAGCAAGGATGAGGTGCTCGAGCTCAAGGCGCAGTTCCGAGCCATCAACGCCCGCCCCACCAAGAAGGTGCGCTTCCCATCACAAGCCTCTATTTCTGCTGTGATGTTGATCGAGTTCCTAGCAAGCAGTTTGAGGCAGCTAGCAGAAGGCACCGCCCCTGGAAACTCTCTCCCACGCTGTCTCTCCATCTTACTGTCCTCTGCCCCCCCACCCCCCTCTCCAGGTGGCGGAGGCGAAGGGCCGGAAGCGGCGGCGGCTGATGAAGCAGGTGGAGGCGGCGCGGCAGAAGGCAACGGCCATCTCGGAGCAGCCGGACCTGAACGAGCGGTCCAAGGGGCGCCTCATGCAGCGCGCCTACAGCAAGGTGGCGTCGGAGCGGCCGCCCAAGAAGATCGTGGTGGTGGCGAAGAAGGGGCAGCAGGGCAACCGCGGGCGCGGTGTGAAGAACAGCATCATGGTGGACCGGCGCATGAAGAAGGACCTGCGTGCTGACAAGGCTAATGCCAGGAAGGGCAAGGGCAAGGGCAGGAAGAGTAAGGGCCCTGCCAGCAAGGGGAGGGGACAACCGAAGGGTAAGGCAGGCGGCGGCAGAAAGCGGTGATACTAATATGGGTGTCGGAAAACACAATTTTCAGGGTTCAAAACAATATAATATTCTGTTGCCACCAGGATGCTGTCCTATATTTTTCTGTTACTGCTAGGAAATAAGTTCTTATTGAGATGACTTTTGGGTTCGCCTTGTATCTCTTAATCGAGCAGAAACGATTCCTGCTTCAGGAGACTACGTCTCCGCTCTGCAACCACAGGCCCTGGACTGTAAAGTGGGCACAATTGGCTAGCGAAGTTGAACGAACATGAACCACACGTGGCGTTCCATATGTGGCTTTCCAAAAAGGCTGGAATGCTCTTTCTCTCCTCTTTCAATCTCGTCCAGGTAAGTGCCGTAGTCATTTATCATTGCTCGCTGATCATTCTTATTCCAGTTGACTGGCTTTCTCAAAGTTTATTCCCAGTCACAGTGAATTGTAGCGAGTCATTGTCTTTTCGTCATGGCTGCTCTTAGCTCCGTTGCGCTTTGCAATGTCGTTCCTTTTTCGGGAAGCTGCGTCGCGCAGGCTTTCCCATCCGTGGAAGGCGTTTCGAATTTCTCAGGTTCTTCTTTCGCTGGCGGAAATCTCAATTTAAAGGCCGTCAGCAAGCGGCAGTCTTCAGCGTTCGTTTCTAAGCGGTCTAACAATGTCGTCGCCAAGGTTCGGATTTCACACAAGTTGCGCATGCATGGTTTAATCAGTCCTAGTCGCAGCTGCTAAGAAAGTTGATGTCATTTTATGCATGAATTCCGGTTTCCGTTGGGAACGAGGCCCCGCCTCTGAGCCTGGCCGACCAGAATGGTCGCGTGTTCGACTTGGCCAAGCTTAAAGGGAAGAAGAGCGTGGTTCTTTATTTTTATCCCGCCGATGACACTCCTGGATGCACCAAGCAGGTGCATGTTCACGCTTCGTCAGCTCTTCTAACTCACTGTTGGGTAGCCCATTCCCACTATCTTTGTCTAACATACGTATTGATGCTGCAGGCATGCTCGTTCCGTGACTCCTTTGAGGAATTCCGGAAATTAGGTGCTGAAGTTGTAGGAATCAGCGGAGATTCCCCCGAGTCGCACAAGGTGCTTGCTGATAATATGGTGAATTGCTTCCAGGAGGATTGACATCCAGTGCCAATTACTAACACTCTTCTCACACTCTTCTTATCTTGCAGCTGTTCGCCGAGAAGTACAGCCTACCCTTCACTCTTTTGTCTGACGAGGGTAACGCTGTGCGCAAGGAGTGGGGCGTCCCCAGTGATTTGTTTGGGGTTCTTCCTGGGCGTCAAACCTATGTGATCGACAAGAAGGGCGTCGTGCAGGTAAGTCGCTGCAAACGTGTCATTATTTTCTTCGGCACTATTATCCGTTCTGACATTTTGCACACCCGTTTGCTTACTGCAGCTCATTTTTAATAACCAGTTTCAACCAGAGAAGCACATCGACGAGACAATTGCGGTGTTGGAGGCCCAATACGAGGAGCCAAAACCGTTCTTCCAGCTTCCCAAGCTTTTCTGAAAATAAGATGTGGACATACTACAATAAACTCCAAAATCCCTGTGTTGGCATCAATCAATTTTGAAGTCATTATTGAAATACAGCAGCATCATTTCTGGGGTGTATAGAAGTGAATTTTTACTGGTAGGAGAGGAAGACAGAGAACAAGACCGACTTGTGTCCTGCATGTACACTGGACTAGCTTTACTTGAGGTCTCTTGTACAGGGAACAAGTAGCACAGGTTCTTAAAGCCAGGATCTGAAGTACTTCATTTGTTTTGCAGTTGGTGAATAGTGCAAGGTTGGGATTGGATGGCAAGCTGCAGAAGTTCACGAGGAGTGAAGCGAGGAGTGCGAGGAAAGAACAAGTCGCAGCAATTTGTTTTGCAATTATGATAATTTTGTTGGAAACAAGCGATTTAACACTTCTGAAGTATCGAAGTAATAACACGAACGAAGCAGACTACAGTGAAGCAACAAGCGAGTCAACCAAGAAGGTTAACAAAACGTAACAGCTGGAGGTTACGCGAAGGTCAAAGGTCAGCGACCTTTGATTCGACGAAATACAGCGCGACAGCAAGGATAAACAACTGACTCGGTATTGAGCAGTTGCCCGAGTCGTCACTGTATCGAACGGCAACAGCAAAAACAGTTAGTTGCACCTTTTCGCATTCCTTGTAATCTTATAAAAGACTCTGTATTACCTTGCTATAATCAATCTCTTGCTCTCACACACTAGTGCAAGTTGGTTCAACAAAGTTCATTGAACGCTTCCGCAATCACAACTTTCCTACTCAAGGTCTTAGCCTTGAAAAGATCCTAAGGGTTTTTATCAGCCCAACATGGTATGAGAGCCTCCAAGGCAAGATCAACTACTCAAACTCCTACAACAGCACAAGGCATGGCAACTCAGAAGGAGAGGAGTTCCTCCAACGGATCTCTCGACACTACTCCTACTCCACCTCCAGCCTCTGGCCTACAGACAGAGGAAGGCACAGCAACAATACCAGCTGCGGAGTCTACCGAAACTCCCGGGAATCAAACAACATGCTTCGACCCAAGCATGATGGAGAAATTTTTCTCCTTCATGTCCTTCTACGAGCAACACCAGCAAGCAGCACCTGCGCAGTCAAACAACAACGACAACAACAATGGGGTTACTCCAATGAGCCTTAACGGTTCATCCTATGCGCGCGGTAACAAGCAGCAGCTAACCTTTTGTCAAACTTATATATAGCTTACATTGTGTAGACTGTAGTGTTAGGGGTACCGTCTATTCCCGGATATAAGACCCTCCGGAATAAAAGTCCCATGGGGCTTATATGCGGGGGGGTGTACGCTTAGTATGGTCGAGTCTGTGAGGACCCCCCTTTTCACCCCAGCGATTATAAGACCCCCCTAGGTCCCGAATTACTGGTTATGACGGTTTTTTTTGTACCGGTAATACATTTCAGTAAGGACCAAGATTTAGGGTAGGTGTCAAATCACATTCATGTTAAACTACCACACCACGACTCTACACCCAGAGGCACTTCTCGTGGCGCTGGTTAGAGGCTAACGACTGTATGACGGGTCGTGACTGTGGGAGGTGCCTGCATCGTGCTGGCAGGCGATAAGGCCGAACGCCTCATAGTGAGATGTGCAAGATGTGCACATCGCGGCACTTCTGCGTGACTCAGCGATTTCGCGCATCCTCGACGTAAGACCACGTTTTTTCCAAATAAGAGACCCCCCCGACCATTTAAATAGGCATTGTAAATCAATGTTCAGCGTTATATAAGTGTTTAAGGGTCTTTTCTATTTCCAGCCACCATGATGTTCACCCAACCATTTTAGATTGATTTTTTATAAAGTCCCCCGGGTCTTATATCCGGGAATAGACGGTACAACCCCATAAGGGGTACAACCCAATTAGGGTTAGTACTTGTACCCAACTCTTTGCTAGTTCATTCATTCTCGTTCGTTCTTTCTGACATGGTTTCAGAGCAGGTCCCTTCTAGGACCGTTTATTTTTTGGCCCACCACCTGCTGCCCTGCTAGCCACCCTCGCGACCCGTAGGCCCCCCCTAGGCCCCGACCCGTCGCCGCTCCTAGCCCGGCCCGTCGCCCTTAGGCCCGACGCCCCTTGGCGTCGCCCGTCGCCCCTAGCCTGACCCCTCGTCGCCCGTCGCCCCTAGCCGCGGCCACGTCGCCCCGTCGCCCCTAGACTCGGCCCCTTGGCCCCGTCGCCCCTAGCCGCGGTTCCTCGGCCCCGTCGCCCCTAGCTGCGGCCCCTCGCGACCCGTCGCCCCGTCGCCCCTAGCCGCGGCCCCGTCGCCCCTAGCCGCGGCCCCGTCGCCCCTAGCCTCGGCACCGTGGCCCCCCGCGACACGTCGCCCCTAGCCTCGGCCCCTCGGCTCCGTCGCCCCTAGCCGCGGCCACGTTGCCCCGTCGCCCCTAGACTCGGCCCCTTGGCCCCGTCGCCCCTAGACTCGGCCCTTTGGCCCCGTCACCCCTAGCCGCGGCCCCTCGGCCCCGCCGCCCCTAGCCGCGGCCCCTCGCGACCCATCGCCCCGTCGCCCCTAGCCGCGGCCCCGTCGCCCCTAGCCTCGGCCCCATGGCCCCTAGCGACACGTCGTCCGCCCCCCCCCTAACCTAGGCCTAGGCCCGCGGCCACCTCGCCCCGCCGCCCCTAGCCTCGGCCCCTCGGCCCCGTCGCCCCTAGTCGTGGCCCCGGCGCCCCGTCGCCCTAGCCTCGGCCCCTCGCGACCCGTCGTCCCGTCGCCCCGTCGTCCCGTCGCCCCGTCGCCCCTAGCTGCGGCCCCTCGCGACCCGTCGCCCCTAGCCTCGGCCCCTAGGCCCCCGGCACCTCAGCCCCAAGGCCCCCTCTGCTTCTTGGCCCCTCGGCCCCTCACGACCCTCTTCGTACCTGGCCCCGCGGCCCGGCGTCCCTAGGCCCCCGGCTACTGCTACTACTACTGCTGCTACTGCCCCTGCTGCTACTGCTGCTACTGCTACTGCTGCTACTGCTGCTACTACTACTGCTGCTACTGCTATGCTCCTGCTGCTACTGCTGCTCCTGCGTGCTGCGCAACTATGGCTTCACTTCGAGTTCTCGCGTTTGATCATGAGAGCGGACCGATTCAGTTTGACACGTGGCTTGACGATCTGCAGCTGTACCTACTGAGCGATTCTAAGGACAGTGTTTCGCTTTTTGACCTAGCGTCAGGCGCCGCCCTCCCGCCACAGCTGACAGTGCGACTCACTCACAGCGACGCTCGCTACCGCGCTACCGTCCCTGCTGAGTTCCTTGACAGGAACCAGCCCTCGATGTTCATCACCCTCTACTTCATAGTCACTCGCCTCCCTGACTCTCTTCGCTGTGTCAGGGACCACTTTCTCTCTCTTGATCCTACTTCCCTCACTGTTGACCTCCTCGAGCAGCATCTCCTCGCATCTGAGACTAGTGCAGTTGCTGTAGGTGCTGCTCGTGGCACTCCGCGCCCGCCCTTCTTTGAGGGGTGCTCCCCCTCCCCCCTTGCCCCCGCCTATGCCTCTTCTGCTGCTACAGACGTCTCTGTTGCTGAGGACGTCGGGGCAGCTTCTGCTAGTACGAAGCGACGCAGCAGCAAGGGCAAGGGTGGCAGGGGTAGTGGAGGTGGCAGCGGTGGTGGTGGAGGTGGCAGCGGGAGTGGTGGTGGGGGCAGTAGTGGAGGTGGTGGCGGTGGTGGGACTGGTGGCGGGAGTGGGAGCTCTGGTGGCGGCGGTGGAGGCAGAGGTGGGAGTGGCGGCAGTGGAGGCGGTGGGACTGGAGGCGGTAGGACTGGACCTAGGCATGGAGGCCCTGGTGGTGGCCAGCGGCAGCAGCAGCAGCGTCGGAGCAAGACCAAGTCGCCCTAGTAGCTCCGTGAGTGGTTGTTTCAGCGTGGGACGTCTGGGGGTAGTGATTGCTGCCCGTATGTCATTCGCACGGGTGTTCGTGCTGGTCAGACATGCGAGAAGCTTCACACTTAGCACCGCTGCTTCTCCCGCCTCGACGACGCTCGGCGTGCTGAGTTTGGTGACGACGTCGAGCTCCCTCGCTGGGCAGATCTACTTAGGTCTAGGATTGCTATCTTTGACCTAGACTTTGATGCTATTCTTTCTGCTATGTATGCTTTGTCTGTTAGTGTTGAGGGTGACTGTTACCGGTGTGTGCCGCCTGACCCAGGTATAGCGGCTGCTGCTCTAGGTGCTAGTGAGTCTGGTACTCTCCCTGGTACTGCGCCTGCTGAGGCCTTGCACACCTTCACGTTGGACTCAGGCGCCTCACGCTGTTTCTTTCGTGACAGCACCACCCTCACTCCTCTCCCTGCACCTGTCCCGGTCCGACTGGCTGACCCCTCCGGGGGCCCGGTCGTGGCCTGTTCCTCCACTGTCCTCCCGTGTCCGGCGGTTCCGTTCGGCTCACTGTCAGGTCTTCACCTCCCCTCGTTCTCTACGAACTTGGTGAGTCCGCTACCCTCCAGGATGCGATGGTCACTGCCACCACTCCTGGGGGTCAGCGTGTGTCGATCTGCACGTGCACACGGATGGGGCGTCACCTGGCCACGTTCACTCGTCGGCCAGGGTCGAGTCTGTACACACTCGCTACCGAGCCTCCTCAGGTAGCTGCGTCTGCTCAGGTGTCCGCGTCAGGTCAGGTAGCCGCCTCTTGCTCGTGTCGCCTCCTATCGCACCAGACTCTTCTGTGGCACCACCGCCTGGGACACCCCTCCCTGCCACGACGTCGTGGCATGCACTCCCATCTTCTTATCTCTGGTCTCCCCAGGTCTCTGCCTCCCCTCCCGCCCTCGCCTGCCCCACCCTGCCTTCCTTGCGTCGAGGGGCGGCAGCGCGCCGCTCCTCACTCCTCCTCGTTTCCCCCGACGACTGCTCCCCTGCAGACTCTCCACATGGACGTGTGGGGCCCAGCCCGCGTCAGTGGACAAGGCCGCGAGCGCTAATTTCTGATAGTAGTTGACGACTACACGCAGTACACCACGGTCTTCCCCTTGCGCAGC